CTTGATGGAGAAAATGAACTTTTGTCAGTAGTTTTCATTTGTTTTTTTATTTTTTTATATTTTTAACATGAATCTTTTAACATTCCTTGTGTTATATAAAAATATATAGGTCTACTTTATAAACGTTGAACAATAAGAGCAGCAACGATAACTAATAATGAAAAAGAACAATTATAACAACATATTGTAATAAAAGTTATGTGACAGAGAGAATATTCGTTCTTACCGTAGATTTTATTAGCAACAATGAGAGATTAACAACATCAACTAATAATGAAAAAAACAGATTCTTTCCTACCGTAGATCTTAGGTATTGCAGTGTACGATATTTTTTCTTTTCTTATTAACTCGAGAACTTTCATCTTTTAACTTAAAGCAAGTATTTTTTCTTTGACGTTTCTGACTTGCCAGCCTTTCACGACCTTTGTGCTTTGGGACCGTTATTAGGTAAAACGGATGAATTTTTTAATACTGGGGTTGATGATGTGTAAAGGATTCCGCTGAAAGCGAAATTGTTGATAAGTGGGGGCACTATGTATGTTTGTGTGTGTGAGAGAAAGAGAAAGATAGAAGGAAAAGTTCTCGGCCCAACCAAATTCCCAAAATTAGGTTTCGTCAAATGTCAAAATTTTGTAAAGCGTTTTTGATCCCGCTGATAAATTTTCAGCAACTCCTCCAGACACATGCACACACTCATACACACGCACGCCCGCACGCTCACGCACACACATGCACACACATACAAAACATATAATATACATGCGTGTGCGTGCGTGTTCGTGAAATTTATTTACAATTCATTTTCAATCAATTTTTTCTGGCTTTCTTTTTGTTTCTTTAAGGACAGCATTTCACAACTTCAATTGTCTGAACACACACACGCACACACACACACACACACATATATATATATATATATATATATATATATATATATATATATATATATATTCAGTTGTATGGATATGAGTTTGTAAGCCTGGGTTTCACGCTTTTTCGATCACCAGACAAACTGAATATGTTAGCTCTATCACTGTTATTGAGCCCTTTCTAATAAGTACCGCGTATATATATATATATATATATATAAGCGTTTCACCCTCAAACAAGTCGGGAAGCCACTAGGACGCAAGGGGTTACAGAAGATTTGGAGCAAGATCAGATAGGGAGGATAGAGGAAAGGATGAGGAGAAGGATAGTGGATAGATCAAGGTAACTGGAGATGTCGATTGACATTACATTTGAATAGTTGGAGATTATAGCTCTCAGGAAACTGGAATAGGGAAGGGAGTTCCACAAGCGAGAGGTGCGAGACATGAAGCTATTGGAGTAGAAGAGACGGCTACATTTTCGACAGTGAAAGGGTGAGATCGGGATGCCAGCCTCGTAGGGCGCTTGAATTCATGAAATCTGGGAACCAGCGAATGTAGCTCCTCGGAGCAATTACCATGACAGTATTTGTAAAAAAGACAGAGAAAAAAAATATATATATATATATATATATATATATATATATATATATATATATATATATATATATATAATAAAAATATAGTTTTATGGTATGTTGTATTTATGGTTTAAATTGCTCAATATCAGGAATAGAGCGTATCTAAATATAAAAGTGGACATTGGTCGCGACGTGTGCCAGGGGTTGAAATTCATCGGAGGCTTTTAACACAATACGACGACATTGCACTACCGCGTAGAAGTGTGTAGTGAATCGTGAAGTTTGAAAGTGGCCGGACAAACGCGTAACGCATGAAGAAGGAGCAGGGCGCCCGTCAATGTCCACCAATGACGAGAAGATTCAGCAAGCTCGGAAATGGTCAGAGTTGTGCAATCATTGTAAGGTATTATGTACATTTCCTAATATATTAAATAGCACTGTTATTTAACATTGAGCGCTGTTTTTTCTTACATTATAGGGTATGTATACATATATGTGTGTGTGTGGTGTGTGTGCGCGTGTGTATTTGTATACAAACACGTGCTCACACCTTTACCAATATTTATCCATTTGATTATATATGTAAAACTTATCTAAAAAAAAAATTACTCTAAAAATATTTTTCTGTTAAATGGCTGGACTCTCAATGAGGCTGTTTGCCTGAAAAATCCATTGGGACTCAAGTTTGCCCCAGACCTCAATTCGGAGTTCGTTTATACGATCTATACTTGGACAGCTCCGCAGTATACCGATATGCTATATATATTTGCGCCGCCATGTGGGTGATAAATTATTTTTCATCCTACAACGCTTTTCCCGCGCATAAAAAGTTGCAAGCCTGTTGCTATTATATCGCTATTTCTATGGCAAATATGGCGTCCAACTGTCCAGATTTTCCCAGCAAGGATTCGCCAGACCACGCACACTGATTTGACTCATCTCCATTTCTTTCATATTCCATTGATAAAGAGGAAGTTCCATTCAGACAGCTTCTACCTCAGAACTGTAAAATTGTGGAACACACTCTCAAAAGGATGCTTCCCCGATCATTACAATCTTAATCTATTCAATTCTAGGGTTTCTGTTATCTATCCTACCTATTCCATAACTTGAACCTCTTGCTGCCTGCTTGTACACGCTTACAACATCATTCAGTGATCCTCTACCTTGAGTTGCTCTTGAGCCTTTCAAGTTATCCTAGCTTTTTTAAAAGCAAACCAAGGAGTCGAATTTCTTGAAGATTGAAAAGTATCTCGATCTAGCAATTTTGATATGCGTGTGAGTTTCACGCGTATGACTTTAGCTGGGCCGTGTGCTAAATTGGTCAGTAATTAAAATTCGCTCTTCTGCTTTTGAGATATTGATATCACCATGTGTCTGTGTACTGATCACTTTCCGTCAACTACAAGTGAAGAAAAGAAATTTCCATTTGATTTACTCACACGGAATTGATTGCACAAACAAGACTAGCAAATCTGTCGAAATTGTGTTTCAATTGAAAGCAATTATCTAGAGACTGGAAAGAGAGACGTTTGTCTTTGAGTGCTAACCCTGGAGTAGAATCAGCTCTAACATATGGAGTTTAATATTTAATTGGGCCGATGAAGCTTCTTCCGCTAACCCTTGTATTAACAAAAAATAGAAAAGAGGAAGATATCGAAATAAAAGTTCCCCCGTAAACAGAAATACAACTCGTCTGAAAGTATTTATATTAGTATTTATATTATGCTTATTAATTATTAAAATTATTATCATTAACATAATATATTATAACATCTAAGTATTTATTTATATTAGTATTTATATAAGCTTAATATTAAATTTTTTATCATTAACATTATGTCTAATTAATCTAATTATTTATTTATATTAGTATTTATATTATGCTTATTATTAAAATTATTATCATTAACATTATATATTACAATATCTAAATATTTATTTATATTAGTATTTATATTATGCTTATTAATTATTAAAATTATTATCATTAACATAATATATTACAATATCTAAATATTTATTTATATTGGTATTTATATTATGCTTATTAATTATTAGAATTATTATCATTAACATAATATATTACAATATCTAAAAGTATTTATTTATATTAGTATTTATATTAAGCTTATTATTAGAATTACTATCATTAACATAATATATTATAATATCTAAGTATTGATTTATATTAGTATTTATATTGGCATGCTTATCATCTAACGTGGCGTGTTTTGTTGGGTTTTTTTTATTAGTAATTTCCTATTTTATTTATTGATTGTTGTTGGCGTGAGAAGTTGTTGTTGTTTCGCAATGGTTATTTGGTACACCCTCCTGCCTTACTTGGATTTCTGTTATGTTGTTGAAACTTATTCTCGGGGATTATGCAGATCATCACTTATAAGTGTCATGTCTGGTTTTCGTGGTCTTGGGACCTGTATTTCTTTGACCCCAGCGCTGAATTCCCGTTAAGCTTCGTATGCGCCGCCAATCCTCGTCCATGCTTATAAAACCCCAAATTCATTGCCTCCTGATTAACGACTAACTAATGTCGATATTGTAATGTTCTGTGCAAGAGGCTATCGATGCTTGCTAGGCGTCGATTAAGGCCTTGCTAGGATTTTAGGATGGTTCTTGATTGTCCCTCCGGTGATGGTAGCCTCCTATTCCCTTTTGCTGTGTAGCTGCTGATTAAGATTCACCGGATGTCTGGAGGGGACCTAACTCTTGTGTCTCTATGGGTTATCTCCCTTCTGTTGCTGGGATATTACAATGCTTTCTTTTTTTCTTTTTTTTTTCTTTTTTGAGAAGGTTTTTTTTTTTTTGATCCGGCCACAGCCATTCTAAACCCAAATCTTCGGATGAGCTACTTTCCAAGCCATCTTCGGACTTTCCAAAGCTGCGAGAATCAAGCAAATCAAAATTGGAATCATCAGAATGAAGATCTTCTTCATCACCCTGCAATGTGAGATTCTGAGTGGAAGAAATAGTTATGTTCTGGTTTGGGGAAGAATCAAGGTCTTGGTCAGATGAAGTGTTGGACATTTTCGAACGGCTGGCATCAGTTCTAGAGGTTTTGTCATGAATTTTCTTGCGTGACTGTCTAGGGTGTAGCATTTTCTGGATGGAGTTGAGGGGAGACATGACTTGTGGCTCTGGCACAGACGGTTGTGGACAAGGTGCCGACTTACATTTTGTTGACATCTGTTGGACATTTGAAGAGGAGTACAATGGATTTTGAAAATCTGTTGAAGCAACTGTTGTTGGACGTTTAACTTTTTGATAAAACTTGAGAGCGTCTTCATAAACATCATTTTGAGGACGCAAATATGTTGCATTTTGTGACAATCTCTTGCTTTATTGGAAACTGCTAGAAGCAGTTGATAAAGGAGTGGCAGGAAAATTCTGTTGACAACATTTAAGCTTCAATTCATTTATTTCATGTGACATTCTCTTCGTTTCTGTGCACAGCATTTCTTGCATTTGGATGAAGTGTCTCTCCAAAAACAAATGGGATTTTCGTCGTTCGTTATCCAAAAGAGATGATAACTGGTGAATATTGGTGTGGGCGGTCATCAATTCTTGTTTATAAAGAGCGTTTTCAGCTTCAAGTTTCTGGACTGTGGAATTGATTTTGTGGAGAGTTTGTGATTGTTCATCAAGTTGCCCTTTTATTTGGTTGGGAAGCCCCAAAAATAAAGATGAACTCCTGTTTGCTGGAGTATCCATTTCAATTGGAGGTGGCAAGTTCCGAGCTCCAGCTGTGTGGAACACGTATTCTATGTCACTACCACTGCTACGTGGGTTCCGTTGGTCGTTTTCAATGCGGTTCACTGTGCGTCGATTGGTCTGTGTTCGTGGGGGACGATTTGTTTCCCGTTGTCTGTTTCCGTCGTTTAATCTTCTGAAACAGGCAGAGGTGAAGTGTCCCCACCTTCCGCAGTATGTGCACTGGGTATGAAATGCCGGGCAAGACGTCGGTCCCCGCTCATGAGGGTATTTTCCGTTGCAATTTCTACACTGGTATTGCCGGGGATAGTTGCTTGGTCGGCGCAGTTCGTCCGCGACTTTGTTTATTGGGGCGGTTGTAGCAGTAGCGGTGTTGTTTTCTTCCAGTCGCATTGTTTGTAGGTGCGACGCTATCGTCTCCGTTGTCCTTGCATAGTTTATTAAGTCATGTAGTGACATATCCGAGTTCATGAGTCCCTTCTGGCGGACTTTATCCGACAGGCAGCCTGTGATTAGTTGGGACTTCACCTCGGAATCCATGTCGGAAAAACGGCACGTGGACGCAGCTTCCTTTAGTTTGCGGTAGAATTCTTCGATGCCAGGGCTATTTTGTTTAATTTTCCGGAACACAAATCGGTTGTATTCCGTGTCGTTTCCGGGTTGAAGTGGTTGTGCACCGCTGAGACAAGCTTGTCGAAATGTGTTTCATTTTTTTCTGGTGTGACTCGCTCCTGTGGTATCTCGTCGATGATGTCGTTCATAGCCTCGCTGACAAAGGTTAGAAGGATTGCTTTTTGCCGTTTGTCATCTTCAATGTTATGTGCGACAAAATAGTTTTTTAGTCTTTTTATGTATTTTGTCCATCTTGCTGCTTTGGCTGTTGACTCACAGTCAAATTCGGGGTAGTGTGGGACGGCGGCCATGTTGGTTGTATATCGAACACGTGTTGAATTTTTTTTTTTTTTTTTAAGTGTGTTGATGTTCTGTTTTTGTGAGGGTAACGACTCAGTCCTCGTCGCCAATGTAATGTTCTGTGCAAGAGGCTATCGATGCTTGCTAGGCGTCGATTAAGGCCTTGCTAGGATTTTAGGATGGTTCTTGATTGTCCCTCCGGTGATGGTAGCCTCCTATTCACTTTTGCTGTGTAGCTGCTGATTAAGATTCACCGGATGTCTGGAGGGGACCTAACTCTTGTGTCTCTATGGGTTATCTCCCTTCTGTTGCTGGGATATTACAGATATTAAGTCTTATTAAAAGAGTTAACTGTTCATCATATATGGATCTTCTTATTCACTTGCGCCTCTCCCTAGGATGACATCAAAATAATAGAAGTATATGACCACAATGTTATTAATAATAAAAGAAAGACGAGGAAACTAAGACGAACAAAATCACACACAGTGACTGAGAATATGAAAAATTTACCTACTTTAAATAATGTATTATTAAATAATGTATTATTCTCATTGTAGAATAAGGAACAATTTAAAGTAAGAATTAAAAAGAAAAAATCTCTTAACTCATAAGCAGTCATACAAGTTCTTGAAAATATATCGTATTTCTTAAATACTTAGCCGGGTCAGTTGACGGTCAGAAGAAAAATGAAAAAGAAGCAGAATATGGTGAGGTCTTTTCATTGGTACGTGAATTGACTAATCAGCAACTAACAAAAAGGCGAGATTTCCTAGATTAAAAAAAAAAGAAGTTCCTTTCCAAAGTTCTTCAGTGAGGTTTTTGTCTAGGTAGGGAGCAGCTGCTGAGGATATCATAGACCGGACATGAAAGCAACGACGAGATTTTGGAGAAAATGGAAACAAAAAGGAAACTTATACTTAACATCAGAAACAGGCAGTCGAAATTTCTGGGGCACGTAATGAGGAAGGGGGGCTTGGAAAATCTGATACTCACAGGACAGATTGAGGAAAAGAGGGAAGAGGAAAGAAGCGCGTAATATACTTGATGGCATTGAGTAAATGGATGATAAAACAGGGTTTGGGGGAAATAACAAAAAAATAAAACTTATTAAGAGCTACAATAGACAGGGGGATGTTGAGGGCCATAATCGCTTACGTCCTGAATAGACACGGCACATAAAAGAAGAAGCGAGCAGATGGCCTAAAAAATGCTGGAGTAGGGAAGTTCTCTCACACACTGTACCCTCACTGTCACTACCAGCAACATTTCCCTGCTGGAGACGGTAACATTTGGCTGATAAAGGCCCCATTGCGTTATGACATTTATTATTACAAGAAAACCTTTCGACTGGTGAAAAGGTAGTAGAATTATCGGCAGATGAAACGGACTCACAAAGCATCTCTTATTTTTTTCATGTGGTACTAAGTTGGAGGACATCGGCTGTGGTTAGACGTAGAGAGGAATGGGTTCCACCAGGTTTAATTACCCACGACACGTCACGCATGAATGATTACCTCTCTCGCTTTCAACCGAGATATGTGTAGGAAATTGGTCAGGTGCTCAGCTGTGCGGCAGTCTGAGACCACACCCGATACTGAAGATGTGTATGATGATATATTTTCCGTGGTCTTGTCTGTATCGTGGAGTATCTTTTCTGTCGGGAAAGTACCTTTTTTCTCGAAGTACCGGGAAATACTTTTTACACTAAAAAAATAATTTTAAATTTGTTTGACCCTGAACAATGGAGGAGTGAAACTGAGTTCGACAAGTCATTGATTATAAATTCCTATCTAATTTCCTCTGAAAAACAAATCACCTCACGTAAAAGAATTTTATTGAAAAATTAAACCACCATGAAATTTCTCATTGGATTTTTTTCTTTCTTTTTTCTTTTTTTTTTTTTTTTTTTCAAGATGTCTAGAGATATTATTTCTTTGGTTTGTTTAGCTTTTAAAATATTTTTTTTTATTTTTTGTTAGTTTTTTTTTATTCGCACTATTTACATTATTCGAACTGTTATCCTCATCTTCATTGCCATATTGACAACATTTCGGCCGTTTTACGCTCCGGCCTTCTTCAGATAATTGGAATTTCTCGCCGAACCCTTTATTTCGGCCAACGGGGTAGATTGTTCTAGTTCCACATGCCATACCTCTTCCTGATGTCTCAGTTATTTCCCTTTAACTCAACTCTCCAAGTTTTTGATTCACCACTGCTGCGGCCTGGTCTTGAACTCACAACTGTTTGGGTCTAGTCACTGGATCTAACCAACGTATTTATCCACTGGGTCATGTGTCCTTTTTTGTTGTTGTTGTTGTTTTTTGTTTGTTTGTTTTTTTTTCTTGTGGATAGCGACCCTTTTGTTCCAATTGGGCTAACTTCGATGATTCTTTCCAAACTTCGCCTGCTTAGAAAACGGATTATTTTAAGCGGCCAGTATTATTTCCCCGGTATTTCCTGATTGGCTGAGAGAAAATGTTCGGACAACATAAAAGGTGCGACCCCCTCCACCCTTTGTTAAGTTATGGCAACAGTAAATTGGGCCATTAAACTCCCAATGTAAAAACGTGAAGGCAGAACGCAGGATTGACCAGTCAAGTTTGGAATGGCGTGAGTCGTAAAAATAATAAATCAAAAGCCCGGATGACACCGGTCTGTAGCCACCTTCCTAAGGGTTCGCAATATAAATCCTTCTGTTTTGGTTCACAAGCTATTGAAACCGGATAGATCCTGTGTATGCGCTCCTTAACGACCGTTCGATACCCTACCACCTACAAGATGAAATGGTTGGCTAATGAATTATGAATAACCAAGAAATTCTAACTTACGAATTTAGACATTGACGACCACTTTTGATTGAAGGCCCGACACTAATTCCATTGTTCTTTTACCGCTATAAGTTCTTCGTACTTGTGAAGAATGTCACAAATGCTCCCATCTTTGGACCCAATACCGGTTGAGGTCAACAGCATTTTGGATAATTGTTCTTCAGTTGGATTATCCATAGCTGTTGAAATGTATTGGTTGTTGTTGTTGTCTTTGTTTTTGTTTTTTTGTTGTTTTTTTTTTGACAGTCATAGAATCTGCGCTCGATACTTAACCGTCTTTGTACCGCTTCAGGTTGGTTGATTTTGTTTAGCGGCATATCAACACCTCTATGGGTTATTTAATGCCGGAATCTAAATATTTTATACACAATTTTATGGCTTCAACTGAATATATTTTGAACGCAATTGTATGCCTTCAACTGCAGATAATATATATTATTAGTCATTTGGCTATAAAATATATTGTTGGTCATTTTGCTATAAAATGTATTGTTGGTAATTTTACTGCAAATATGTATTGTTGGTAATTTTTTTATAAAAATTTATTGCTGGTATTTTTACTATAAAAATGTATTTTTATACATTCATAGTATTTTGTTTGGGGGTTACTATTTTCCCATAGCAGGAACCCTAACAGGTGCTACTTGTAATATGAATATATAAGATTATAAACTACAGAGTGTCCATAAAGTTCGTGTGCACTTTAAAAAATGTATAACTTTATTTGTATTTGCGATAGAAATAATCTGTAAAAAATATTATGAAGTTTAATATATCTAGTTTTAAGTATGGCTAAAATAACTAATGTGATTTCAGGCATTACTGTAAATCAGTTGGCAAATGTTTTCCGTGAACTGCAAAATCGTATTACCCTTAATGATTGAGGACATGTGGAAACTTAAATAAAATTTCAATAAAACCTTAAAAATATACAAATTATTTTTATCGCAAATACAAATAAAGTTATAATTTTTTTAAAGTGCACACGAATTTATGGACACCCTGTATAGATTATTAAATTCTGTTTATAAATCAAAATAATGTTAAAAAGAAACATTATGTAGATAATCTATCAGTTGAATATGTTTACCTGTATTCTTTTTCTAAATATTCTTTACCCATTTATAGGTTCGAGTTATGGCTGAAAATACAGTCATTCTTCCGAACACACACACACAAACACACACATTCTTTCTATCCCTCACTCTCCCTCCCTCTCATTCTCTCTGTGTTATTCAGGAAAGGGCGTCACTTCTTTGTTGCATTTCAACCTCAGTGCACAAATATACAAGGTATGCGATTCGCTGTGCCTGCATATATTCCTGGGTCCTCATTAGGCGTTGCAAATTGCACCTTCATCGGATTTAAGCAAACCGACAATTTCGATTCGGCGCGTTATTTTCTTTCAATTTGCAAGACCAATTCTTGTATCCTGCTGTGATTGATTAGGTTACTAATCTTATTCAGGGTCGACATGTACAAGGATCTCCCGATTGATGTCTTCGAAAGGTCGATAAGTCATGGCAAAAACCCATCCCACAATGACAGGTTCTGGCAGTTCGTGGTCATAGATACACCAACGAATTATATCATTCATATGAGCTTCATTCTCAAATATGGGCGAAGTGAAATTCGTTACTTCCCTTGTGGACCGTAGCAGTTTTGCTTGCCCAACTCTACCATCCTTTCACACAAGTTCGTCAAATAAGTGACTCGCTGCCTTCCCCCATCACTCTTGTCCTCAGTATGTCCTGTGAGGGTTAAGTTTTATAAGCCTTCTTTCCTCATTATTTGTCC